CCCTCTTTTCCAACCGACGTGGTGGCCGCCACGCCGGGGTGTCGGGAGGTTTTTGTAGCCCGGCGCCCGACCGGCGGGCAGCTGAGCCATGGCTATTAGAGGCGGAGACGGCGGAGAGCCCCCTGGGGGTAGGCACACCCGGCGCGCTCGGGCGCGTGCCGCGGCTGAGGCTGCCTAACCGTCGGGCGCTCCCTGCGGCGGCAGCAGGAGCAGCAGCGGCAGCAGGAGCAGCAGAGGCAGCAGCAGCGGCGGCAGCAGCAGCGGCAGCAGCAGCGGCAGCAGCAGCGGCAGCGGCAGCAGCAGCGGCAGCGGCAGCAGCAGCGGCAGCAGCAGCGGCAGCGGCAGCAGCAGCGGCAGCGGCAGCAGCAGCGGCAGCAGCAGCGGCAGCAGCAGCGGCAGCAGCAGCGGCAGCAGCAGCGGCAGCAGCAGCGGCAGCGGCAGCAGCAGCGGCAGCGGCAGCAGCAGCGGCAGCAGCAGCGGCAGCAGCAGCAGGACGAGGATGATCCACAGCAGGACGCCGGCGCTTTTATCGCAACGCGCTGTGTTCGGCCCGCCAGCGGCGCGGCCGCGCGGCACGGCTTCCTGTGTGCCGGCGGCGCCAGAGGAAGTCACACACACAGACGCACACACATACGCGCACACTCACTCACACCCTCGCACGACAGGTACAGGGCTGGACTTAGCCTCAGGGAAATGGTGCGCGAGCGACAATATGGTGTGACGTAGTACAGTAGTGCTCTCCGCTGCCGGTCCATATTGCCAACACTGGCAAGGACGCGAACGGACGGACGACACACGGAAAAGCGAGAGAGAGAGAGGGAGAAAGAGGGAATGGTGGAACCCGCGTGAAGCTGAGGGCACTGAACCGTGGCCATGTGACTGACAACACACAGCTCAGCCTCATGGCTTTGCCTCATGGCTTTGCCTCATGGCTGTGCAGCAGCGGCGGGCTTAGGCCCCGCGGGCAGTTGGGCCCCAGCGTGACGATCCGCGGCCCCACAGTCACTGCCCCCTTACCCAGCAGTACCTTTTGTCCACGCTCCTCCCTTCCTCCCCCCCCTCCCCCCTCCTCCTTTTCTGGTAACCCCCTTCTCCTCATCTCTCTACGCATCGCTTTATTTTCCAGCTGTGTTCGTGACTTATGGAGTGGTGCAAGTGGCGTGGTGTGACCAAAGAAGGCGCATCACTGGCTGACAATTCCATTATCCAGGAGACGGAGCCGTCCTCCTGCCCCTCCCCCCCC